TCAAGGCAGTGTCCACCTTCCCTAGGAATTGGTTTGGTGTGCGCGTTGTTTTCTCTGCACCCAATAAATTGGGCCGTATATGCGCCATGGTGCATAGGAGGGCGCAAAGTGCGTCAAAAAGCAGATGTTTGCAGAAACATGCAAAACAATTTGTTAAGTGTTGTATAGGAGTGGTGTATAGCATACCGCTAACGTGCGGTCGCATGTACATCGGTCAGACCGGGCGATGTTTGAATATACGCTACAGGGAGCATTTGAGTTCCTTAAAAGGTAGTACATTTTCCGTGTTAGCCTCACATTGCCATTCCTGCAAGTGTCTACCGTTATTTGAGAAAACAAGTGTACTGTTCCAGCATTCGCTTCAAACCACGCGTGACATTTCCGAAGCATATCACATTTCTAGAAATAAGAATCAATGTATCAGCCATCCGTCATTATCACTACTTGACTGTGAATTCAACTATATTGATAATTCGTAGACAAGTGCTTCGAATGAACGCCACGCTTGCTGCTCACACTGTCATCATATTTTCCTGTTGACATGTGCAACCTTGTGTACTTATATGTCCTTCGAAGGTGAGAATAAACCAGTTCCTAGTTGAGCGCTTGTGCTGTGTGCCTCCTCTTTGCTTTGTGTCTGTGTTTACCCCCGCGCTCCCATGCTAGTCTTGTTTAGTGCTAAAACATCAACATTGCGTTTGTTGAAGTGGTTCATTGGGAAATCAAATCGACATCGTCCCTCTTGCAAAAACCAGCGCCTCCAGCGTGATACAATTACGTTTTTTGTGTTTTTTGCACTGGTACACGCTGTATTTCTTTGGCACTTCAGTGAGCGCTTTGTATAAAAGCTGGTTCACACTGGTGGGGGCGCTGGCTTGGCCGCTGTGATGCTGGCACGCACTAGGAATCGCTCGAAATGGTAGAATGTTCACTGGAGTGCACTGAGGCTGCACAGTTTCTGACAGTGGCGTGTGCCGCATGTGTATATATAGTGTGTGCGGAGTAATGTATCGGTATTGTTAGATATAAAGCTGCCTAATTTGATGAAACTGCTAGGTGCTCCCCAAACACGTCCCGAGCATGCCTCCCAGTTTCAAGCTTGGTAGAGAAAGAAAATAAGCGTAAGACATTCATGTTGTACGTGAAATGTGAAATCACCGTCATTTTTATTCTTTCCCCTACGAATGTAGAAACAAACGCGCTAGTGGCACAAAGCAGCTTGCGCTGAATATTTGGTCTCTAGCAGCCTTTTTTTATTTTTTAATATTCACAAAGTGTCAATACAGCCCCAATTCTGGCGGTTCTATGCGTTTAAGCACTAAATATGTGTTTAGTGAGCGCCCCGCATGCAGGCCTTGTAGACAGAAGTTTCTTTTTTTGTTGTTGTTGTGCTATTGGGAGGGGGCTTCTTGAAGGCTTTGAAAGTCCGTATTTTCAATATTTATTCTTGCTTAGACATCCCCTCAATCCGAATTTCGGAAGGTCACTGGGCTTTTTGGGCAACCCTCTGGCTACGAGCCTGACCACACGTGTGCCAGTTTCGCGTCAGTTATTGGTCCTTGCAATGGTTACATTCTGCAATGCTGGAAGGGCCTCTCCTAACAGAAACATCACCATCGCTACATTGCCTGCAAATTTGAGACTTCCTCCCAGCGCAGGCCAGAAACACAACCGTCGTTCGATATCGACACACCAGAAATGCACCTGTGGTAATGCTTGTCGTTTCACGTACTCGCGTATTTCAGCAGCAGTTTAGGCAGCAGTTAGAAGTGTTCCATAGCAAAAACACAAATTCTACCATCGCAACTTGACTGCATCAAGATCGGTCCCACCCAGTGCGACTTCCAGCTACTGTTAAGCCTAGCGAGCCGGATGTCATCATCAACATGTTACTGGCACTTGTCGCTTTTAGTAGGTGCTACAGAGTAGCAATCACTGTAAAGAATTTAGCTCAGACATCCGTCCACCTAAATGAACCATTTTTTCTCGTGCGCGGTGTCCGCACAAGGAGTGATGAAAATCAATGTGACGTGCTTTCAGCAAAGCGCACGGGTTGTCCCCAAAAGCTTATGAGCACACTGGTACTTCCTCCGATTCATATGTAAGAAGACATTATTGTCATTTGGTAACTTGGTGCGCCTTAGTGAACCAGTACACTGACATAGTTTTTCAGCGCATTCTATTAGCATATTCTTGGGTGGCTTTTTTTTTTCTAGTTGTACGTATCGATAGAACTGTAACCTTAACACGAGTACGCCCTATTCTGGCATATCTTCGCTTTCGCGAGAACCCTACACATTATTTAAAGATGTGCGCTTGAATTGATCGAACTATTCATCAGCAAGCCTCTGTGCATGTTGATTGATATGTGGGATTTAACGTCCCAAAACTACCTTATGATTATGAGAGACGCCGTACCGGAAGGCTCCGGAAATTTCGACCACCTGGGATTCATTAACGTGCATCGAAATCTGAGCACACGTGCCTACAACATTACCGCCTCCATCGGAAATGCGGCCGCCGCCGCCGGGATTCGATTCCGCGACCTGCAGGTCAGCAGCCGAGTACCTCAGCCACTAGCTAGACTACCGCGGCGGGGCCTCTGTGCATGTTGACCAGACGCAAGAGCCAGAAACAGCTGTTAAAAATTGGCAGTAACAGTAGGCTAACTGTGCCGGCTACAAGATCCACATGATATTCTGAGAGTTAAGATCTGAATTCTCCAAGAAAGTTTGTTTTCTTGCGATTATAGGCATGTCGTTCAGTGTCGACAGCAATTTGTGTATGTCTACAGCAAAGACCCATTTGTTATACTGAATGGAATATCACGCCTATCTTGTCTGTGCGACTTGTAACTATGAAACCAAAAGGCGTGTTCTCTGGAACAATACTTATTCCACAACATTTCTTGCAGTTTTGGGCGAGAAGTACTTTTTCGTTTTTTTTCTTCTTCTTTTTAAAGGCCCGGCGTAGCGGTTAGACTGCACGGTTGGCGATCAAGAGGGGGCAAGTTCGAATTCTTCTGACGACACACCTTTTTCTTTTGCATTCTCTTTTTATTGTTTTATCTATTCGTTGTCACTTCTTTTTATAACACAGTATATTTATGGCAGATAGGGATCACTGTTTTAACGGCGTAGAGCTGTCTTCCGAGCACCTCCCAGTAAAACGCCGCTCCAGCGTCTTCCTATCGAGTGCGATGCTGGTGCCATAATCCGCAATGGCACTGGACGCTGATACACAGGGCACTGGGTGTTGCAATAGGAAATCTTCGTTACTATTATTTGTTTTGGGGCGCATTGTCAAACGCTTTAACAATATTTTCCTAATATTGCTTTTGTTTGCTTTGTTTTTAGTTTCTTTTTCTATACGTGTTCAAATTATGCCCCATCTACTGGCCCTCTGGTAGCACTATGTGCCTGCAGTACTTGATGAATAAATAAACACAAACTCAAAGCTTTTCTGAAGCAAGCTCGGTACAGGGAAACTATGACTGACCGCGCATATTGAAAGAACGCGTCAAACTTTTTTGCACCTTGTGGCGTATTTAATGATAGACATTGCTGTTCAAACGTTCGGTGCAACGTCATGCACACTGACTGGTTTAAGAAACAAAAGAACTGGGCGAAACTTTTGTGTGTGCGTGCAGGCGTGGGTACGCTGGCGCACGGGAAGTTAGTCAATCATCGCCCGATCATTACACTGTTCCTTCCACCAGTACCAAAGAAAAAAGAACGAGTGATGACATATCGCAACCAAATCATGTAGAACAGAAAGCTATGCCAATCTAATCAGCAAACGGAGACGCCTTTGAGACCGCAAAACAAGATTTGCCATAATCCTAACTATCCCCTGCGACTAACTAATACAGTTCTGCCTCCTGGAATAAAGTCCCATGCCCTTCCAGAATGCTCAGATGTACTCGTGCCTCTCAGGAGTGGTCACATATTTTAGCGGTATGTCATTCACCTGGAAAATATAGTAGAACTAAAAGAACAACCAGATAATAAACAATATGTCGAGGTGGCAAATAGACTGTTTTTCGGCTTCCTACCCTGCCATCGCATAAATATATTTTAGATTTAAAAAGAATAGAAAAGGAGAGCCACTATCGGCCAGTCAATTACATGTCTATATAAATAAAGTTTATTTTAAAACAGTAGAAAGGCGCGCGGACAAAACCAGTGCTTCCTCTTCTCAACATCTTTACGCTCTGCTCAGTTCAGCATAGCCAAACGCGCTATGCTGAACGGGCATCATCGCCGTTTGTTTATTCATTTTGTCACGACCTGTATATATTGCAATCAAAATTCAAACTTCCCGGTAGTCATCTACTGCATGTCATGTTCTTTTATTTTTCGCTGATGATTATGGTTCTGCTTATTCTTATGCTTCAGTAGGCACACATTTCAGAGCTTACGAAAACTAGGCTTCGGTACAAGCACCATTTGTGTTGCCCATAAAAATTGCAATCCACTCGCAGAATCTTTTTCATCAATGAACTTTCAGTAAACTACTTGCAATATTAAAACTGCCCTATAGTTATGGATGTGGGCTGACTAAATGACTGTTGCATTATTGAACACGTATGCATAAATCCATCAATTTCTTTCCTAAATAGAACGAAAGCGTTAACTAATGAAGCATTATCAAAAGTAAGTCCGATAACACTGCGAAGCCAGAAGTGTGCGGCAGCGGTAAGCTTGAAATGCCCCCGTTTTTCGTTCCCTCTTAGACTGTGTTTCTGCAAGGAGCTCACCATGTTTGATGCGTTAGGTTACAATTTATTTAGCTACACTAGCCAACATACGAGATACGTACATAAATGACTCGCGAATACAGCTGAACAGATTGCCAAACTCTGCCGAAGAAGCAGAGTTACAGTGTAAGGTATGGCTCATATTAGTCCGTCCAATGAATTTGGTTTTTCTAAACATCCCATCCCAAATATCTCAAACAATTACAGCGAAGATCAACAAATAAAAGAGTTGTGTACTCACCACACCCCACCAAAGGGCATCGGCATAGTTGCCAAACTTTACAGGGTTGATATCTTTCTCCGCGAGAAATACAAGAAATGAAGAAAAGATGAGTCCTAGAAATCCAATGTACAATGTAGTGATGAGCTCCTGCAAAAGAGAAAAGCGGACGAGCATTAGCAGAGACAGACAGCGCCGGAACATTTTGACTGACAGAAACTTTCCTATAATAGCGGATAACATGCAGTGTATTAGTGTCAGGTAAGTATTGGTACACTACAGTATTTTTAACAATATATACAGAAAACACACCAATACAAAATGCGCAAGAGAATGTCAGTCTGCGCAAGACTTAGAGCTCCTACAAGGAAGGTTTAAAAGGTTAAAACTGCTCTTTGCTAAAATTTTGATTTTTCACTACATTGTGACGTCTTCATTTCCAGTGTCATATCCATGGTTAGAAGGGACACTGTTATGAAATATTTCAGTGGCCTGTATCACGCTATCTAAAAAAAACATGGGCAAGGTGGCAACTCTTCCCTGAGAACTTTTTAGAGGGTTGCGATAAAATCATAGATCTACCCTCACAAGCCTAAAGCGAATGGTTAAAAATTGCAATCGGGAAACACACTAGCAGCCCTATAGCTAGATCGCGGAGTTGTAGAACTTCTCTGTGAAGAAAGTTTTCTACCTTGGAACTTTTTTACCTTGAAATATAACCCTTCCTTCTATTTCATTCGTTTAAGAAAAAGTGCATGACCCATAAGAATGTGTGCTAAGTATGCGAATACATACGTTCTAGTAAACGAGAAATATAAAAAGCAGAGCGACAACCGAAAGGAACTTGCATCAACAAATGATGTTAGATTTAATCAACCTGAGTGGTCATTACTTTTCTCTCAAAATAATTAGCCAAGCAGAGCAAGCATGCGAATCAGTTATAAGTACACCAAAAAACAGATGAAGCCAATGAGGGCATTCCTCCCTATGCACTATACTCATATTAGTGCATAGGAAGTATAGCACGTCGTATGTAGTTACTTATACCCTACGTCGATGTAGGGTATAAGTATAGCACGTCGATGTAGGGTTGCCTTGATAATGGTTTTTAGGCAACACGGTATAGAGTTTCTTGCGTTTATTATAGAATGCTTGCAATACTTTTTTATGAACGGGCAGCTCGAGGAACTATATATAAGTTATGAAAGTGTCAGCCGCGTCCTGGGTCAACACCCTTTCAACGTCGGTCAATGAATGTGATCTTGAATTTCGTTCGGAAAGAACACGACGCTTTCTTCACATATTGTCAAAAATAATATGACATAACTTTTTGCGCTATCATTTTTTTCTTTTAATAGCCACCAAAGAGATTCACTAACTTTTGTATTTCTCTATTTGCCTTCAGGAAGGAGGCGAATAGTTTACAAGAATTTCTCAGCCAACCCTTCCGATTCTAACCTTTTACAGCGTGATGGGGAAAGTTTGTGTCTGCGTTCTATTTTTCAGTATCTATTGTCAGCATCATCTTGTTTCTTAAGAATAACTAGTCCTAAGTATTTTGAAGCTCCCTGGAACCTTCACAAGGTATGACCAGAACAAGGGCAATATACAAAGCAATCATTCATTCACTCAACAACATGAAATGAAAGCAAGAGACAATTGAAGCCAAAAATGCCCTTGTCTATAGTTCAATAAGCGGGATACAGACGGAAAACAATTAGGCAACGTGTTACTTGTAGAGGGCAATACATAAACACTGTTTTTAAAGACAATAGTTTTTATTGAGATAACTCAATGCAAAAATATTGGTCTGTGTATTTTTTCTTCCCATTTTTCGGTCTCTCCCGGGAATCAGCCACCCTGCGAACGTTGAAGCAATTCCCCAAAGCCCAGCCATCTTTATCTTGGGGCTGCGTTCATACTAGTGAACATTGTCAATGAAAAAGCAAATGATATGCATGTCGCATGCACAACATCAATACTATAGTTTCCGGTGGTGTGTTTCTTTACCTGAAAATGCATAGCTATGTCATCTTAAGGACCCTAGCGTTTTTACGCTGCCCTGAAAATGCGACACTATGCCCGAAAAAGCGGGTTCTTCCTACGCTTCACTGAGACGATACGGTGCTGCCACCTTATCAGTGGCTCTGCATCCTACACAAAGTTTCGTTTTTTGACATTACTGTCAAATGGCGTCCATATATCAGGAAACTCCTCCAGACGGAAGACCATCACATTTCAACGACATTTGCAGTGATGCTAGCGGATTCACGGCCAATTTCTTTTTATTTAGATGCTTCTGGGTCGATTTCGAAAAGAGTTCTAATTTGCACGATAGCAACTAGTGTTTCAGATGATTTAATATGCAGAGTACAGGCACGGCAGAAACAGAAACTCTGCACTGTGGCATTGTTGTTCAGCGTGTGCGCATCTGAGACAATCTTTTTTTCTTTTAGTGGCCTTTCCATCATCATCTTTTTTCTCAATATATTCGCGTGTTTTCTGGTGAGCATGTGAGGCGATGTGTGCGCACATGTTCCTTAGGGTTATATATGTCGCTAATGTTTTGAGAATAAAGTTAGTTGCGAGTGATGCCCGCTCTGTTCTGTCCTTAATTCTCTTCCTTGATGGTACGCGTATTTTCGTATTCTAATTAGCATCTACCATTCGGTGGGCAGATGGGCTTAAGAAGTTTGCGCGTATAAAGTACTAGCAAAAAGCAAAGAACCATGTTTACTGGCGGAACATGGGAGAGGCATTTGTGCTGCAGAGCGCGTAGTGATGCTGAAGAAGATGATAATGTTCAAGCTTGTACCAACGAGCTCAACAAGACAATGATTATGTATTATCTTTTATTTCAGCCGTGTGTTCGTTATATTGCTTATCGTGTTTCAACCTCAAGCTAAGCTGCTCGACTTAAAATGACCTCGCTACGAAGAGGGCGTACATATACTACAAGAAGGTGGGCCCACCTGGCGGTGCGCGTAGACGACAGAGCCGAGCAACTTCCAGGTGCCCCCTCGCCGGTCCATGCGCACCATCCGGAGGATCTGGAAGAACCGGAGACCTCGGAGTGCCGATGCTGCGAACATCTGGCCGCTGCTGCCCATGGCCAGGACTACCACGGACGCCACGATCACAATTACGTCTGCGCACACACAACAAAAAAAAACTAATTATGAGGGTATGTGCGAAAATCTTGCTGCGTATGCTGACCTCGAGCTTGTCTTTCAGAGCTTTGTTTACACTATCTATCTATCTATCTATCTATCTATCTATCTATCTATCTATCTATCTATCTATCTATCTATCTATCTATCTATCTATCTATCTATCTATCTATCTATCTGTCAGTCTGTCTGTCTGTCTGTCTGCGCATGTATCTATCTGCGCATGTATCTATCAGTCTATCTGCGCATCTATCTAGCCGCTTACGTCTGGGTGCCCTCGAGATCCTCCTCTTACTTTGGCGCGAACCAAAATTAGTATGGGAGCGTCAGATGGCTCGACTAATATCACGCACTGGTCTAAATATAATTTCACAGTCCCATTCGCGTACGTCATCAAACACTTTCCACCAGTTAGTGAAACAAACCCGCAGGCGGATATGTGCCACTGGTATGCGGGTATGTGCCACTGGTGATTGAGACTTAGTATCTACACAGGAACGGCGAGAACAATTATGGTCAATTTCAACAAGTGATTGTTACGAAAAACCTATCATCAGCAGCGTCGATCTGACGAATGCACAGAATAATTGTCAGGGTCCCAGTAGGAATCGAACTGAAACATTCTGCGTGGCGGTCAAGCATTACACCACAGAGCCACGCCAGAAACCGGAACTACCTATCAAATAGACTCTAATGTTCGTCAAACATCGTTTATGGTTGCAGTGCTGGATATCCAATTTTATAAACATTACATATGAACTGCTATAATTAAGCCCTCACGTCGGGTTCAACGTAAATGTTAGTAAGGTGCAATGTCCATAACTTGATTTATACAGCAGTGTCTAGGGCTACCAACCTTGCGAACACCAGCACTTCATATCAGCTTATTGCTTCTGCTGTGGCCATACTCAGGTTCCTGTTGATTTCTTCGCGCAACTTCAAAGAACTGGTTATAAAAACATATGCAACTCTTTAACATACCTTGTGCGTGCAACATTTGTAGATATTTTAAGCGTGATACCATGACAAATAGCTCTATGAAAAATAACAACACAGTTAACATACCTCATTCTACGCACAACGGTGGTTGCCTAGGTAAGTGGTATCTGCCGAATTTCGCTGAAAATTATCTAGAGTGTTCAGAAGAATATATCAAACCCATGGGAAAACTTGTTCTAAAACAGACGGACGTTTCGGCGATCGGGCGGGCCTTCCTCGGAGCACCCACTGCACGAGCAATCGGCACAAAATCCCTTACAAATGTTTAGCGGTACCACGCTTCTCAAAAAGTCTCGAAAAATAGCATAGCGACATCCGGTATACAACCGTAATTTATTATTAATGCCCTAGTGGGTATCGAACAAGTGTGCTTGCAGTAGTTATAAATTGAGTGTTTTGAATAAGCTCTGAAGGGCCCCTCTTTTAGCTTTCGCTGTGACTGTGGTGCGCCTTCCGCGCAGACTTGGCGTTTTTTGTCATAAATTCTTCAATCTTCCTTTGTTCTTCGCTATGTTTCTTGTGTTCCTGTCATAACGTAGTGCACCTTCCCCTATGAATGCCTTTTAGGGGCGAAGCTCTCTATAGCGGCACCCGTTCGTCCCTTGTAGTTGTAGTGTGTAACAATTGTTACATTAGGACCTCCAAGGCGGTGCCGGTGGGAGACTTCTTCTGTGCGTTGTTGAACAATAAAAGATAGTGCTCAATGTACATGCCAATGGCTGCTAAGGGGGAATGAGAGACAGGAGCATACGGCTTTTAGTTATAGCGCATGCTGCGATCCCCGTTAGCAGTCATTGGCATGTACATTGAGCACTATCTGACAAGAAAGGGTTGCTACGTTATACTCGCTGGGTGTAACCTCCTTAGTTTTAGAAAGGTTTAGTGAGCGTTGAGCCGCAGTGCAATGAATACAATGAACTAGTATATACCATGAACTCGAGGTGGTTAAAGGTGGGAAGTAGATACGAAGCGCGAGCCGTAGGAAAGTAAAAGCCGAATTCTCCTGTCTTTCATTTCCCATTAGCAGCCATCGTCATGTACATTGAGCACTGTCTGACAGAAAAGGTTGCTACGTTATACTCGCTGGGCGTAACTTCCTTGGTTTTAGAAAGGTTTAGCGAGCGTTGGGCCGCAGTGCCATGAATACAGTGAACTAGTATATACCATGAACTCAGGGTGGTTGAAGGTGGGAAGTAGACCCGAAGCGCAAGCCGTAAGAAAGTGTGCGTGTGCCACCTCTCGTTTAGTCCTTGGAATGTCCGCTGGATGGCGGTGCTTCTATATGGGAATATATGATGAAAAGATGCGAGATGGTGGTACTTGGAGTGTTGAATAGATGGATGAACGGACACACAGACAGATGATGGACATGGATGAGGTATGGATGGAGGCATGAACGGACGCAGGGGCGGATGCACGGACGAACGCAAGGACGGACGCACGAAAAGACGCACGCACGGACGGGCGGATGAACGCATGGACGGTCACATAGACGGACGCATGGACGGACGGAAACTAGAACGAATGGACGGACGAATGCTTCGCCCCACTCTCCATCATTCACTTCGTGGATATGCTGCCAATTTTTTTTTTATGTTTTCTCGCCATTCATTCCTGTATTCTCGTCATTCTTTTTAGGGTTTTGTTACGCTTCCAGTATTCTTGTTGTAACTTCCGGTACAGCTTGCTCTGTTCTCCTAATTCCCATGATGTTGTTTTTTCCCATGTCGCCTGTGTTCGTGTCATTCCTTTTTTGCATGGTGTAACTGTTCTTCAAGCGTACGAATAAACAGAAAGGAAGAGAGGACAAGCGCTTTTTCGCAAATAAACAATTTATTGGAAAGAGGAGACTATATAACAGGCAATCAAAAAACAACGCTTGCGTGTGCAGGCAAAAAATACAACGGTGGCAACTCGAGAACGTAGAGTAAAAGCAGAAAGATTATCCAGAAAAATAATCTAGAGAAGCTAAGATACTAACACAGAGTGGACAAGAGAAGCATCAGATTATCTCACAGTGTTGCACAGTTAAGGTACAAAGAGAATAAACTACTGTGGAACTGATCAAAGATCGACACAACATCTGACAATGTGGTGGTTTCATTCTTGACATAGACCAGCACTAAAATTTTCTATTTTAATTACCAATGAAGCAGGTTCATCTCTTTTCAGAGCAGAACGTGTTTGAAAGTCACCGTGGCCTGATACGCACTCATATTGACAGAGACAAGGCAAAGCGCAATTTACAAAATTGCACTCGTCATGTGGGAACATACACAACACACAAAATATTGAAATCACATTAGGGATTACGGTATTAGATTGTGTGCTTTCAACAGTATGACCTTCTGTTTTTGATACTTCTCATAAGCAGTTACAATGCTGGCACACACAATCAACAGGTAAAGACAGCTGGCCCCTAAAATTACTCGTTTACAGCGAGTAAGGGTACGATGTCTATTAATGAATGTTGACCGTTTCAATAATGGATTACCGGCTATAAACTACAGCGCTGTGACGCCCGAGTGCAAGCAGCTGCGATGCGACTTTCCACTTTCAGTAGAATTTGAAGTGAAAACAGGCGTTATCCTAAAGCAATTTTTACGAGGCATAAGTAGATCATATGTTTGATTGATATGTGGGGTTTAACATCCCAAAACCACCATATGATTATGAGAGACACCGTAGTGGAGGGCTCCGGAATTTCAACCACCTGGGGTTCTTTAACGTGCACCCAAACCTAAGCTCACGGGCCTACAACATTTCCGCCTCCATAGGAAATGCAGCTGCTGCAGCCGGAATTCGATCCTGCAACCTGCGGGTCAGCAGCCGAGTACCTTCGCCACTAGACCACCGTGGCGGGGCAAGTAGACCATAGGTCAAGAGAGTGAGGAAAGTAAATCCGGAATGGCATTCTGCAGTTTCCACAATCCTAATTTATCCAGTAAACAGTCCAAAAAGTATAGTTTTATGTGTGCTGTTTATGGTCCTGATATGACGTCTTGATATCTTCCTTACTGTCAGCTGTGGTCATGGTGCAAAGATTAGCCCGAAGGCTGCGGGCTCCATCCTGGCTGTGCCGGTCACGTTTCAAAAGTTGTGCTTAGTAGAGGCATGTGTAATGTGAGATGTCGCTTCACGACAAAGAACACAAGATGGTCAAAATTTCCGCAGTCCTTCTCGACGGGTGGACTGCGAAATCACGGAGAGAACTCTCATAATCATGGCGTAGCTCTTGGGTGTAACACCCCAAAATGTTTGTTGTATTCTCCTCATTTTCTTGTATACTCAGTGTTTTTTTTTTACTCTTCTAAGTAAACAAAAATTTTCATTAAATATATAGTTCACATATTGGAGGCTGGAAGTATGAAGTTAAGTTTATTTTTTCCACAGAAAAGTGCAAAAACAGTTGCACTTAATTAGGATGTGGTTTCGAGAAGCTACATACATGTGGCATCAGTGGCTCCACCTCTCAGTACCCAGCACTACACATTAGCAGAATGAAAATAAAGCATATAAACAAAGGCTATTTTAATTGCAAAACAAAGTTAATAAAATATACATATATAGCAGAAACGTTCAGAAAAATAAATAAAACATGCATAGAAAAGGTAACAACAGTAAAAATTTTCAATAATTACAATAAGATAGTGGCTACATGCGAAATAACAACCAAAAATTGAGAAACCAGGCAATAAAAGGTAAATATACAAAAAGCGCCTGAAAACTATTGTTTTAAAGTACACGCAAACCTATTAATATTATAAACCAGTTTAGCGACAAAAATTTCACGTGAACTTGTACGCGGTTAAAAGAGCTTAATATAAACATAGCGCAGCCCCAAACGTATATTTTCAACAATGACAGCGAAGGGCTCGTGTAACAATATGCTTTCATTCGGGTTCACACATCCGTTAAGCCACGCCTGTTATTCGTTATTCATAAAGGCGGATATGTGAAGTGAAAACTATGGCGGACA